ATAATTTTAATAATTTTAATAATTTTAATAATTTTAATAATTTTAAGAATTTTAATAATTTTAATAATTTTAATTTTCCGGGAGCCTCCCAGGGCAGAAATTAATAATTTTAATAATTTTAATAATTTTAATAATTTAATAATTTTAATAATTTTAATAATTTTAATAATTTTAATAATTTTAATTTTCCGGGAGCCTCTCAGGGCAGAAATTAATAATTTTAATAATTTTAATAATTTTACTAATTTTAATAATTTTAATAATTTTAATTTTCCGGGAGCCTGTCAGGGCAGAAATTAATAATTTTAATAATTAATATTTATAATATTTTTTCTAATTTTAATTTTCAGGGAGCCTCTCAGGGCAGAAAATAATAATTTTTAATAATTTTAATAATTTTAATAATTTTAATAATTTTAATAATTTTAATAATTTTAATTTTCCGGGAGCCTCTCAAGGCAGAAATTAATAATTTTAATAATTTTAATAATTTTAATAATTTTAATAATTTTAATAATTTTAATAATTTTAATAATTTTAATAATTTTAATTTTCCGGGAGCCTCTCATGGCAGAAATTAATAATTTTAATAATTTTGAATAATTATAATAATTTTAATAATTTTAATTTTCCGGGAGCCTCTCAGGGCAGAAATTAATAATTTTAATAATTTTAATATTGTTAATAATTTTAATTTTCCGGGAGCCTCTCAGGATTATTAAAAATATTAAAATTATTAAAATTATTAAAATTATTAAAATTATTAAAATTATTAAAATTATGAAAATTATTAAACTTATTAAAATTATTAATTTCTGCCAACGTCCTTTTGAAATCCGACCGTAGGGTCTATTTAGAAGCCGTGCTCTTCTAGGTTTATTACATTTAGGTATATGGACCTGTATTATAAATCACAAGCCCCAGCTTCTAAATAGACCCGGTTTTGCTCACACACTCCCCCCCCCCTTCCCCCTCCCCCCCCCCCCCCCCCCAGCGGCAGGAAAAGACCAGGCGCCAGGAAGCACGCATGGCTACTACTTCTACTGCTACTACTGCTACTACTACTACTACTGCTACTGCTACTGCTACTGCTACTGCTACTGCTACTACTACTACTACTACTACTACTACTACTACTACTGCTGCTACTGCTACTGCTACTGCTACTGCTACTACTACTACTACTTCTACTACTACTACTACTACTACTACAACTACTACTACTACCACTACCACTACTATTTTCATTTCATTCCAATCGCAGCCGATCTCTCAGCTTAGCGTCAGGTACGTGGCAGCGCATTGCACCGGTGCTTCAAGAGCACTAGAACCACATGGGCAAGTCCCGCTACGAATAGCTGCAAACTTGCGGCCTACTCAACTTGTCAATAGAATGGTGCACCAGTGCACCCTTCACTCGATCAAAAGAGTGCAAAATCAGATAAGTAGAAAGCGAAAACGTAAAACATGAAAACAGGTCGTAGAGCTATCGACATCGCTACAGCCATCTGTTATGGCATCTTGCATTCATCATGGTGTTTCTCTGTACAAAGTGCAATCCTGAGAACTGCAGTGGCCCCAGGAGGGCACACTGAGGACCACGCACAGCACCCTGTAGTCCTATGAACTGCAAGTGGCCCCAAGAGGGCGCACTGAGGACCACGTTCAGCGCCCTGTAGTCCTGTGAACTGCAAGTGGGCCCTTGGAGGGCACACTGGGGCCCGTGTAGTTCAGTACCCAAGAAAGGTCTGGCCGCAGAGCACCGCCAGAACACAGCTTTCTCGCACTTACTAACTGTGACCCGGAAGGACGTAACGTCAAAACCCAGACCACATCTCGAAGCATACGTGGGGCCGGGGCCCAGCGCGGGCCATCCCATCCGAGGACAGGGTAGGTTGCCGCCGCCGGCAGTCGGTCAGCATTCGGGACCAGGCAGCGACGATCTGCAGCTACACACTCCTCGGGTATCTGAACTAGAGGTACACAGGCACAAGGGCTGCGCTTGGCAATGTCGAGTAGCTCTATTGCAAGCTGGCATAAAGGATCTCTTGACACATCGGTTCCACTTGTGAGAGGTCCCTGCTTCCCATCTGTGACCTGAACTCCGTTTAGCTTCGGCACCTGAAGTCGTCGCTGATAGGCCACCCCGGACTTGGGACCGGGCCGGCTATCTATAAGGAGGTGTGGCACTATGCGCTCAATGGGGCGGCCCGACGGCGCGCGCCCAGGAAGAATGCGGGTGGCAGCCACGTCACGCTTGCGCCAGCTGCAGGAAAAGTTGCGCCAACTCCTGATCGCTGGTAGCCACGCACTTGCAATGGTGCCAGACTGCCGCGTTGGCAGGCCAGGGGCAAAGGCACACAGTCGACCCACGCGCCCTTTGTCAGCGGAGCCAACAGGCACGGTCCCAGAGAAGTCGCGGTCCCAGAGTAGCTGGGGCAGTTTTTGGCCCTCACACTCTGCTTCGAATAGTCATGCCAAACAGGCACCTGTTTTTCATGCCTGCCTCATGAGTTAAAGGTTGGCCAACACAGCTGGAACTTGTCCTCCAGCTGGTTTGTTTTGTGGAAGCAGGATGCCTTCAAAAAAATTATTGGATTGCTGGCCACTTCCATGCTTGAAGCCTTCCACATGGTCACAAAGACCCTGTGTAGTAGAAGTGCCTGGCAGCTCTGGTTTTCAACCAGAGTTATCTTTTATCTTCCTTTAGATTTGAGGGTTTCGGCTTGAGGCTGTAAGTTGCAATGTGTTTTAAAACTTAGGGTACTTGGTGTAGGGTTTCCTGAAAATTTTTATTTACAGGCTTGTGGGTTTTAGGGCTCATTTTGAGGCACCTGCAGATCTATATTTTTTCTTTTATCCGGCTTTAACTTATTTCGAACAGTTTGGACTTGCAGGTTCAAGGGTTGTTGACTTTGGTTCGCTGCCAGATTTTTCGGTCTTCAAAATTAAGCCGGAGAGAATGAGCAGCTGAGATCTCGGCAGCTGGGGTTCTGGCTGTGCTTGAAACGTTTGCAAGGCTTAGGGTTTGGGCCTTGAGACTTCAGAATCGAAAGGCTGAAACGGTAAATTTAGCATGCTGGTGCTCTCTCTGGAGGGCCCGGTCCAGGGGCCCTTTGGTCAGGTCCCCTGGCACCCTCCCACTTTCCCCCAGGCCCCCTTCCCTGAGTCTCATGCTGAGCCTTGTTTATTGATGGCTGTTTGCCCAGGCTCATGACCATATTGTTCACTTCTCTCTTGGTTGAAATGTCACTCGCAGCGAAACCTAACCGCTAACCGAAAGCTGCAGTCAGCATGGCAGCAATTCCCGAAGTCAGCATCAAACTGAAAGCAGCTTCTTTGTTCCCCATCGCACTTGCCAGGATCGATGCTGACATGTTCTGGGTAAAACGCCAACTTCTAGCCATCTATCTCCTTGCAAACACAGAGCGCCTGTGTTGTCCAGGAAGTGGCTCCCAGACCCCCGAAACCCCATAGCTGATGATATCACATCAGCAGAATGCTCACCTTGCATTCTGGGAAGGCCTTCCTCTTCGGAATGGGTTGTCTTGAGCTGACACAGCATTTTCGGCAGCCTCAGAATGGAGGCGACTGATGTAGGCACTTGCTGCTTTCGCAGCTGCCACAGCATCCACCTCATACTTCCATCTGTCGCTGGAGCTGGCCAATTCCTGGAAGTAGTCTGCAGCCTTGAACTGAAGTGGGCAGTTCCTGGCAATCACCAGGGCTGATGGGCTCCAAGCATCGCTCAGTCGCCAGGGCCCCTGCTCACTAGTCAGTCGTGGCAAATCGTGAGCCTTGTCGGTGAGGGCACAAACGAGCTTGCTTGTCTTGGTCTCATCCTCATGCTGTGTCTCGACCATCCTCCAGAAAAGGAAGTCCCTGGTCTCCATGAGCTCAAGCTTCTTTGGGTTGTCCTCCAAGCGATTATGGCCCAAGGCTTGCACTCTTGCCTTGCCAAACTCCTCCAAGACCAAAGTGTGCTTTACGAGGCTGTGCTGTGGAAGGGGTGTCTCGTCGTCGCAATGGAACCGGTAGGCAAAGCATTTCTTCCACCAATCGTCGTCCTTCTCCAATTCCTGGAGTGACAGCCCCTGCTTCAGGGAGGCCAGCACCATTCGCTGCATAACCGCTGTCGGCAATGCGAGCAAGGTCTTGGCCTTTCCCTTCCACTTGTCCCCATAGTCCACATTCTCCTCAGCAGCTTCCTTTGCCTCAAGCTCGAGGAGAAGTCGCATTCCGCCCTGGCGAATCACTTTGGCGAGCTTGCTGACCCACCCTGGGTTGGAGTCGATCATGCTGACGATATAGTCTCGCTCATTCTTGTGATTGTTGGTCTCGTATGTCTGCATGACCTTCCTGAGCTTCTCGGCCTGCTTCTTTTCCATGTTGTCCTTCTTCTTCTCTTCCTGGGCTTTTTTTTTTCCTCTCGCTGGGCCACTTTGAAGCTCCTGGCCGTGGAAGTCGCAGCGCGCTTTCCCATGTGTCTTGGTGTTCGCTACGAGCACAGAAACCTACCCAGAAAACAAATCTATCACAATGGCTTCGGCACATGTTGAAGGCACAGCTGGGCACATGCAGCACAGCAACTGCTCACCGGTTGCAGCTCACAGCGAAACAAAGCACAGTCGAAGCACAGTCACAGCTGAGTCAGTTAGCTTCATTGCAAGAATGCACAGCAGTCACAGTCACAGCACAGCTTCGCAAGCACAATGCAAAGCAACTTCACATCCAATCGGGATGTGCAGGTGGCTGCTGCAGGCAGCCTTTGAGATCTTGTTTCTGTTTCCGACCCGAGACAAGCCATGTGAGTTTTCAGGCATGGCCCAAAGCATGGTGAGAATCGCAATTTCTGTGGAATCGATCGCAGTGGGGGATGTGATCACAAGCCTCCATAGCAGCTTAGCGAAAACCTTTCAGTATACTACAGTCCTAGCTTTTACTGCATCCATATCCAGGACATGTCAGTTCGAGCTTTGGTGAAAGAAACAAAATTTGGATCACTTCCTGGATCTGCTGCTGCTAGCTGGCTCTGGGGCTTCAGCTTCGCCGTCCCCTGAGACGCTGCCCCACTCTCTCATCAACAATGTCACTCTCTCAGGCATGTCTATGTCGTTGTGTTCTTTGTGCTGCTGCCAGTTCCATTCTAAGCACGCCCTGGCTGCGTAAGTTGGCCCCACAGCTGTCCAGCTGAAAGACTTCTGCTTGGCCTGGGCTCCAGCAATCTTGAATGTGGTTCGCCATCGGCCATTCTTCACATCGGAAAACACAGCCGTGCAGCTCGGGAGGTGTTCTCGGAGCTTCGCATCGGCGACCGAATCCAGGCCGGCATACATCCGGGCTTTCTTGGGATCCTGGCTCTCGGCAGCAGCTTGGTTTCCTCGCTTCTTTGGATTTGCTTTCGCTTGGGCCCCGGCCTGTGCCAAGCCACGACTTCTGAGGGCTTCTTGCTCTTCTTTTCTCTTTTGCTCTGCTGCTTCTCGGGCTTTTTGCTCTTCTTGTTTCTTCCGTTCTGCCGATTCTCTGGCTTTTCGTTCCAGCACAGCTTTTCTGGCCACTTCCATTGGTATCTGGTCGTAGCTGCTGTGGAAGCTCGCTTTGGCGATCTCGGCGAGACTTGCGACTGGCCTCGACTTTCGCTCGAGTCCTTTCAAGATTTTTTGCTTCTCTTGCTGTCTCATCGTGTCTTCCATTGCAAGAGCCAGCTCTTCTGTCATGCCTTCCACCCCCCCTTCATCTGCCTCGTTTCTGAACTTCACTCTGTCCAGCACCTCGTGTTCTTGCAGACTGGGGTCCAGGTTGACCATAAGATGAACCGCTGTTGCAACCTCTTGATCATCTGCATTCGGGGGTGCTTCCTCGTACCCGAGATGCTGTGCCAGCTGCTTGAGCAAACCCTCGCCCAAACCCTTGAACCCCGTCTCTTGCAGATGTTGCAGCAAGAGCTTTTGAGGGCCTGGCTTGAGCTGCAGGCCCGACCTATCCGAGCGACACCCTTGAACTGGAACCAGCACAGAAAGCTCTTGCACGAAGCATCCTTCCAGGGAAAACAAGAAGCCCCAGGTGAGCTGGGAAATTGAATTGTCGAACTCGAGGTTGCCACTGAAGGGTCTGCTTGTCAAAGGCCAAAGCAGGCATCCCTGTGGATAGGTCCTGAGGACCATGTGGGGTCGGTTCTGGCACAGGAAGACAATCCCAGGAGGCAGCAAACCCGACATCCATGCTTTCTCGGCGAGCTCCCACTGCTGGCCTCTCTTGTTCAGGTGCACCAGCAAGGCCAGTCGACAGAAAATTCGCTGTTCGGTCTCTGGGGTGAACGCCGGCCATGTCTGAGTTCCAGTCACACCCTGCACGAACTCAAAATCTGCCTGTTCTTCTGGTGTCTTCTGACGAATGCGATCTGCATGAGGTCGGCACATACCCTCGATGTCGAAGTCTGCCGGCACATTGTACTGCTTTCGGGCTCTGACCTCCTGTCTTTCGTAGGCCTTCAAGACCTCGTGTTGGCTCACACAGTGCCAGGCTTCTCCCAAAGGCAAGGTTTTGGCATTGTTGCTCCTGTCCTCATGCTGTCTTTGGAATTTGTTCGCATCCTCAACCAGCTTGCTTTTTCATAAAAGGATTTTCAAACCACCAAGACAACTCTTAAGATGTTTTGGCAGGGAAATGCAAAGCTCAGCACTCACATGAAGGTGCACTCGCAAAGCAACGGATCCCACATGCCTGAAAGCTCGGATGCACTCTTTTTGTCGCATGGGGCGAAACGGATCTGGCGTCCGCCCCCTTCGGGGGCGTGGGTGAGGCGGGTGGGAGAGTAGCACGCACGCCAGCTACGGGCTACTGCACTACGGAGCTGTGGCTACAGCTGCTGCGGAGTCTGTGTGAAACCAACGAGCCCGGCAGGGCCGAGACCGAAGAGTCGGTCAAGCAGGTCAAAGCACGGCAGTGCACACAACTGCTCCTGGCACCCGGGCCAGAGCAGGGAGTGGTGGGTGGGTACAATTTTCACTCTGTCGCTCACACTTGAGCACTGCGTTGCAAGCCGGGATAGCAACCCGATCAAGAAAATTTCTGCACATGAAGGAAAAACGCAGTCAAGCAAAACGTGACCCACAAAAACTGCATTGCACATCAAGCACACTCACGCGCACAGGCAGTGATGCATTGTGCCCTCAAAGCATGCGCAGGTAACCAACTGCATATGTCCAAGAAAATCACAGTTTGAAAACGCTCGTACCCTCGCTGTCCTAAAATGAAAAAGGGATCGTAGATGCGCTTGCTTTCTACTGAATCCCTTTTCATAAAAGGATTTTCAAACCACCAAGAAAACTCTTAAGATGTTTTGGCAGGGAAATGCAAAGCTCAGCACTCACATGAAGGTGCACTCGCAAAGCAACGGATCCCACATGCCTGAAAGCTCGGATGCACTCTTTTTGTCGCATGGGGCGAAACGGATCTGGCGTCCGCCCCCTTCCCCCCACTTTCAAATTTTTCCAAGGGCGCCAAGATCCACAAGGTCAAAACCACTGATGGGACACGCGGGAGTGACCCTGCGACATTGAGCCTTATGCAAAAACTCGAAGGCAGCACGTGACGGCTCGTCTGCGACATTGCTTGGACTCGCCACACGGGCGAACCACGTCCAGGAAGGGGAAAGTTTTTCCGACTCCTCAAAAGAAAGGAGGATTTCCCGCACGTAAGGGTTGGCAGAGGTGCCCTTTATGTAGGAGTCTTGTGCCTGCACATTATCGATGAAAAACAAAGCGCGCTGCGAAGCAATGAACTGGTGCCAAACTCTCCTTAGGATATGATTCAACCGGCCCGATAATGTGTCGCATCGTGGAAGTCCATTTGCTGATCAAATGATCGGGAACAAGAGACCCAAAGCAAGAATGCAGCCGTCCTTGCACTACAAGGACCCCACCAATCGAGTGCACCTCACCCTCGCTGGCGCCATCCGTGAAGACGTGCACAACGTGGCTCGCCACTCCACAAGGCACCTGGCGAGGCTCACAAGCACGGAGACGCGCAATGAACAGACGCAGCGATTCCCGTGCTGCATCGTCCAAGACCAACTCATCGGAACAATGCCCTCTTGCCCACGAGCGAATGTCCGCCATGATCAAACGGCCCGACTTACCAAGTATGTACGAATCAGTGTAGTGGAGTCGACCCATGAGACTGAGGTAACGCTTTCGAGAGATCACTCCCTCGCGCAGAAACTCTTCAAGAGACACCACGAGTTCCTCAGCACGACCAGGCTTGTTCCTTACGAGCACCAAACCCTCAACACACCTTGAACAATCGACCTCAACCCCCAACATGGTGGCAGCAGGCTGGAAGGGGCTGAGCTTGTCGTCAGCAAAGGCGAACCCGAGAAGGGAACACAAGGCAGTCATTGTACTCATGGTATTGTCTGAAATGGCACTCGGTGACATTGCAGGGAAGTCGTCGAAAAAGTTTCCCCATGGGATCAAAAGCTCAACCCCCAACCTCCACAACAATCTCGAGAGGCGGTTGAAATGCAGCACCGAGGCCGCGCTGCCAAAAGGCAACGCCTTCGACTCGAAAAGGCCCGGCACCAGCGTATCAGGGTTAAGCAAAGCGATAACTGCCCAAGCTCGCGAGTCGGCTGACACTGCGAACTGCTTGTAAGCAGCTCGAAGATCAAGTGTGGTCAGAAGCGGCTGATGCCCTGCCTTCTTCCAACCAGGATGCACACGGCCCTTTAGCACAAGCCCCGAGGAAAGCACGAGCTCACAATCATGCCCCCCACACATGGCCCTTGCCCAAATGCGGCAGGTGCAGATAAGTTGATCAAGCGCATTCAAGTCCAGCTTATCCATAGACCCAAAAGCAAGATTCACCTTGTTCTCGGTGAAATCATCAACAGGCCGCAGCTTGCGCCCGGCAGCAGAAATCTGTTCCACCCCGAAACGCCGAGTGGGCAACCAGCCAGAGGGATGCCTATCATCCAGCTGCTGCGACGACAGAGGTCCCTCCAACATACCACTCTCCACCTCCTGCATCGTCTTTTCCCACAGCTCACGTGCATTACGATCCATGGACGACGATTTTACCTTACCCAGCAGGGCTGGCCTAAGAAATTTTGTGGCAGCAAGAAAGTCATCCTTAGGAAGCTTCGGAGGCCTGGGCTCAAGCGCGAAAACTCCCGTGTGCTTTGCATGCCCCACCAAATCAAAGCCCTTCCTAAGCTCAGCAAAAACGCCCATGTCAACCCAGCCGATTGACGACGCAATCTTCTCAAGAAGCAGGAGCCTTTTACCTTGCAACACCTTTGCAACCTCAGGGTCTAACGACTTGCGAAGGCCTGCTTCCTCGGCCTCAAGGTCGCGAGCCCACTGGGTCCACTTCTTGAGTAGCTTTGCCCTACGATCCACGACCCAAGCAGGCCCCTTGGTCAGCATGTCAAAAAGGCACTGTTTGAGCACATCGGGCACAGCATGCAGCTGATCAAAGGGGTGCTCTACGTTCAGGCATTCATCCACAAATTCTTCGGGGGAAGCATACACACCCAGCGACACTTCAAAGCACGTGCTGGCCTGGTCATCCGGGCCCACAGGAGACGCAGTGTCACCTGACTCAGACGAGCTCGAATCAACTAGCTCGGCAACCGCCTGAACCGTTGTCTCCGAGGCACTACTCAACCCCACTTCAGAGAGCAAAGACGTCGAGGAGATAAGCTTGGAGCCCGCCGGGGCATCCCGCAAAGGTTGCAGCAAGCGACGCTTGTGATCCACCTGGGGCAACGCAGCAACCTGATACACGAGCACACGCTTGAACTCAGGCATGACAGGAGGGATACGGCGCCCACGGGGCTGGCGAGCTGAAGAGGCAGACGCCTGGGCTGACACCTGAGGGGCAGGCGTGGCAGGCAGGGGCCGCCCAAGGTGGCGGAAAACGAGCGCCACAAATTGCACGCAGAACGGACGCGGATATGCCGCTTCGTCTGCCGTAGGGAAGTGCACCTTTCCACCTGGGGCAACCTTTGGTCTCCACGGCAAATGTTCATGTCCCCCGGAACACCGCTGGCGAAAATGGCGAAGCCCAAAGCACGAAGTGAGCAAAGACCTGTGGGTCAGGCGGGACCCCCCGTAACAACTCATGTCAAAGGAGAAGACATGGTTGTCCTGCACCAAGGGCTGAAAACACGGCAGCTGCCAGAGCATACTCGACTCAGGATTCTCGACAGACCAAGGAATGGCACGACGACCCAAGTCCTGCAGGAAACGACCCAGCTTAGTGCAAATCTGGTTTGCCGCCTCGACCTTTGCCCGGTCGACTCCGTTCAGGGACGGCAAGCCCATAGGGAACTGCTTGGAACGAAGGGGGCCAGCAGACACACCCTTGCGCCGGATATGCCGGGCCATAGAGCATGTGCCGCACGGGGGAGCGGCATGCACAAACAGGATGTCGCAAGTGTCAATCAAGTGTCGTAGGAAGTCCCAGGTCGAATCCTCAGTGAGGCTGAGGTTACACACCTTAGCCAACGGAAGGTGCCGATTGTGCTGGTGGTCAATGGGCATGACCGGGACGCCGACCTCATGAAAGCAGCGCGACAACATGGCAGTACCAGCACATAGCTCCAAGAACAAGGGCTCTCCAGCAGCCGGCTTAGGAATGTCGGGAACCGAAGGCGCAGATGCAAGGAGGGGCAATCGAGGCGGCCAGGGAAGACGCACCGGCAATTGCGGGCGCTCTTGGAACGCAGCAGCATCGGGCTGGTTTGGCAAGTTAAACTGCAGGGCAGACAAGCGTTCAGAAGCCTCACTGGACAGCCTTGAAAATGCACCTATAGAAAAGGCCACTAAGACCACACGGCGGCCTTTCCAAGGCTCAGTGAGATGCAGAGCACGACGTGCATCAAAGAGCACGGGCCCGGCTCCCACGGGCAAGAGAACTCCCTTCTGCTGCTGGCCATTGACCTGTCGAGAGACAGTTCCAGAGTCAGTGGCCACCCAAATATCACCCTTCTCAAAACTTGACAAAGGAACCACCAAATTGGGTACACACGAGTTCTGCTGATCACGGTGGGGTTTAGTGCGAACCCCCTCAAAAACCACAACTGAAGTGAACTTATGTCCTGGGGCAGATTGGCGCACGAATGAAGCAAAGACGCGGGACGCCTGAGGGAAAACGGCAACATTAGTACGCAACCCAACCTTGACTCGAGCGAACGCTCCGGTAGCAAAAGCCTTGCCCTCAGTTCCACGCTGGGGCGCGGCCATTGGCAACATCTCAAAAAGCTGCAAAACATCGCTCGCCTCAAGCCACGGCTTCTCGAGCAGCTGAGACGCAAAAGCTTCGGGATTGTCGGAAAGCGGCTGAGGCGGAACTGAGGCCGAGCACGGGACGTGTTTCGGTGATGACTCCCCTTCAGGGATCTCATCATCGGAAGAAGAGAGCACAAGCTCCTCACCAAGCTGTGCTACATCTTTATCATCAGTCACGTGGACCTGCGCCTCAGAGCCTAGTCACTCCCTCTTATGCTTGGGGCAATTCGTATAGACATGATCCCGCTTGAAGCAACCTTTGACGCAACAAATGTGAAGACCACGATCGCACTTGCCACTAGTAACGGCACGCTGACACCGCCCCAAGTTGTGGTCGAAGCAGATGGGCAAGCCCCGGGTGGTGACTGGCACACCATCGGACAGCTCAGCAGGCATACGAACATTTCCCTTTCCTTTACCTTTCCCTTTTCCCCTACCGCGACCCTTCAAACCCCTGCGGTCATCATAGGGCCCAGGCCGTGGATGCAAAGGAGCTGGTGGAGGCAAGGGCAAGGGTTGCAGCAGGTGAGTGACATTGTTGCAAGACATGGCGTCACTCCAGATGCGATCGACTGGTCGTCCGGAAGCCACCACCTGAATCCCCTGGCGGGTCCGATCAGCTGCTTCAACAAAAACCTGCCTGTCCGCCTCGCCTGGATGAGTTGCTGGAGCGTGACACGGGCATACTGGTCTGGCGGATCTCGAAATCGAGCCTGAAACAACGCCTCAGACCAACGCTCATGCTCCGCAAAGCTCAGAATGCCAGCTTGGTCCAGCGCAAGCCCACGACGTGTAAGTGCATGCTTAAGCAAAAGGTCAGTGGACACGTCGGCTTCCACTTTCACGGCCTGCGACCTAAGAGACACGTGCCCCGTGCCATCCACAGCAAGCATCTTGTCATCTCGGTCCTTCTTGAACTTCACTTCATCATCCCGGCAGGGACAAGACTGCAAAGGTAGGTATGAAAGAGAATTATCCTCATACATCTGGACGCAACGATCGATGACCGAATGACCCGGGAGAGTAGGGCCATGGATGTTCAAGCCAGCAAGCCTGTGTTGCCGCTGAAGCCTATCGGCTCGATCGGGAGCCGCCAACCGCCTCGGAGCAGAATCTTCCGTTCTTTCAACCTGCACCTGAAGCTCTGAGACAGTGAGGTTGTAGCTCTCATGAAGAAGCCTGCGCAGCACGCTCAACTCTGCCAAATTAGCAGCGCGCCCCAAAACCCCAGCAACTGCATCGGTAAAAGGTGACTCGTCAGTGTTGCCGGGCACGAACGCACTAATGAAGGCAAACTTGCTCATGCAATCAATGCCGGCATCAGTGAACTTCTTCAAAGCGTCAGCGGCCAACCCCAAGGCCGTCGCCCTGGAAGAAAAGTTTGCCTTGCTCTCGGTGATGGCCATGGCGAATGGTCCTGCAAGTGCACTACACGATCCTTCAGCCAAAACTGTATGCTCAAGTTATCACTCACAACAACAAGAAGTTGTCGTATGCAAATCACACCCTCACGGAACCACAGCACCGTACAGCCACATTTTCAAGTCATGGTTGACTTCCCTCCAAAACCGCGTGCCCCGGTTAACCTGAGCTCTTTCAGCTCGCCGAGCGGACCGGCACACCAAAACACCGCGAGCACCGGTGCAACTGCTCACATAATCAAAATCCACCGCGAGGACCGGTGAGTGCATAGCCGAGTCTATCCGGCTGCGTCACAAAGACACGACCCATGTGCCGAGTGATCCGGCTGCCCCTCAGTTGAGCCGGGCTCACTTGAAACAATTCAAGCACATGTCAGCCATAAACTTTGGTTTCTCACTGAGCCTCTCGAACTTTCGCGTGCACGCCTTTCCGCACTTCAGCCTATTCCCACTCTCGTCAGCGAGGCGGTGCAACTTCCTTGAAGTTATATGGCGAACATAAACCTGAGCATCAGGATCCTGAACCACAAGTTCAGCCCAAGGCGGCACAACCTGATCAGCGGCCGCTTCCTCCGCTCTCAAGTCTTGCACATTATCCTCTTCATCGAGCGAAACTTCGGATTCCGATGGCTCCTCAACGAACTCAGGCCCAGGCTCCCTCTGCGGCTGGGTCGGGAAGTAACCCGACCGAGTGACATCCGGCAAAAACAGGCCTTGTCTGATGTCCTGGATGACAGCCTCCAGCGACCTCAGGGCTGGAGAAACATTGTCACGCCCATAAACGTGCATCATCTCATCCTGCGGGGCCTTGTGATACCCCAAAACACGCCGATGCAGAGGATCAACTCCGTGCTTCGACAGCCAAGAAAGACATGTGCATTTGCAACTGTGAGTCCCGAGCTTGCGTACCTCAGGGAAGCCTCTAGAGATAAGAATCCCCCGGAGCCATGCAGCGGCCACCGTAGCTGAAGGTGGGACCGGAGCCCAACCCCCTTCTAGCCCACGACTCGGCAGCAAAGGAAAGTCCTCGCCTTCAGGAATGCCCATGTCCTCGCGGAGACCAAACCATGTCTTAAACCAAGGAACTGCAGTCAGGCCGAAAAGTGGCCCAACCATCGGGAGCAGAGCCGTCTTCCTTTCCAGCGAGAAACTCGTCTTTGTCCTTGAAGCTTCCCCTTGAAAATATCCTGTCAAGCGGCCAGCAAAACCTTCAGGCTCGTCGATTGCAAGATTCTTCAGACCTTGGGCATCGCTATACCTTGCTCGAAGGTAAACACAAACGAGGAAGAACCCCGCACACAGCCTGTCGATATCTCCTTCACGTTCGGAGATCACCAATCTCTCAAGGGCCTTCACCATATCGACGGTGAGGGGTGGCTTCTGCCGTCGCTTCCTTTTGTTCAGGAACATCGAACGAGCCAAGCCCCCAAACCGACCACTGCTCAGAACATCAGAAACATTCTCAACGCCCAGCACAAATTTGCAAAATGCAAGTGCAGACATCAACGCCTTTCCGAATGACGGCGCACAAGTGCTCTCGGATTCAAGCAGAAAATGATACAAAAGCGCCTCGCTGAAGGGTAGGGGCTTGCACTGGCGAGCCTTGGCCCAGGCAACAAACCTGATGAGAGGCCCAGCCCGGCTGTGCAAGGTACCTGCCGATTTGCCCGAAAAAGTGTGCAGAAGGCCCTGAGAAATCGCCTCGTCATTTCCCACGAAAGCAGCACACCGCCTACCAACGTCAAAAGATAAAGGATCCTCAACCACTAAGGCAACCCACTTTTGTATGGCAGCACTAAGCCTCCTCTCAAGGTGAGCACCCCAAGAATCGTCCAAACGAACCCGGGAAATCATCGCAATCTTCGTGACTGCAGCAACGGTTGGCGTCACTGGAGTGATCACAGGCACGAGCGAGGGCACTGGTGGGAACATGCCTCGCGACCTAACTACACCGGTAAAGAGCACAATAGAAGGCCTCAACCGAAAATCCCAAGACCGAGAATAGCCCGTCTTATTAACCTTGCGAGTGCAGGCAGCCAAATGAGCCTCATAATCCTGAACAGGCACCTCTGCCTGTCTCCGCCGGTCGCTGTCCTCAGGCACACGAAGGGACCCAGGATCCAAACCCCCAGCTGGCAAACCTTCTGGGGCACGAGGGGGCTGAGCCATCTAGGAAAAGGGCAACTATGCAGACAGCTGGAGAAGCTGTCGGGCGCACGCGTGCGGCCTTCGGCCGGAGCAAGCAAGTGCAAGCCAACTGGAAGGATCGAGCCAGAGGAGCACTCGGGCCCCTTCCCGGGAACTGACAAGCACTCCGCAAAGAGAACTCTCGAAAACGTACGTGAAGAGACTGGGAGGGGCCTCCAGGCTGCGCTCAAGGGATGCAAGGTGGAAAGAGCGAGGCCTGATGCTGAGCGCCTGAAAGGCAGGCGCCTGAAAGACAGGCACGGGAGGCCAATCCCAGCTGAGGGAGCTCTCCTCGGAACTCGAGGTGCTGTCCATCCACCGAGGGCACACAGGCCCCCGGCTTGCACGACCCCTAAGGGGAGACCACTAGCACCTCGAACCTCTAGCACCCCTACAGGAGTAGCGGAGGCTCAACAATTTAGCTCGGCAAACGCCTGAGCTACAATTTTCACTCTGTCGCTCACACTTGAGCACTGCGTTGCAAGCCGGGATAGCAACCCGATCAAGAAAATTTCTGCACATGAAGGAAAAACGCAGTCAAGCAAAACGTGACCCACAAAAACTGCATTGCACATCAAGCACACTCACGCGCACAGGCAGTGATGCATTGTGCCCTCAAAGCATGCGCAGGTAACCAACTGCATATGTCCAAGAAAATCACAGTTTGAAAACGCTCGTACCCTCGCTGTCCTAAAATGAAAAAGGGATCGTAGATGCGCTTGCTTTCTACTGAATCCCGTTCAAAAGACCACCCCAGACCTTTCGCAACAAACTGTCCAATCCCTCGGGCACTTCTCGAAAATTCGCTCGAGCAAGCCAGTGGAAAACGTGCTTTATCCAGACTTCCTCGCACATGCTGTGCTGTAGGAGGGCCTGGGCAGCATGGGACCCATTCTCTTTCACTGCCAGCACAGCATCGAAGAGATCCCGATGCCACTGCAAGCTGAAACACACTTTCTCCTCAGTCTCTCCCAGCAAGCCGGCAGAAGCTCCTGGGCCCCAGGTGTGCCACAGGTTGCTTCCAGCCCGAAACTTGAAGATGCTCAAAGTGAACTTCCACAATTTCGTCGCCATGGCTAGGTCCCAGTCCACCTCTCCCGGCTGGCAGTCTTTGTCCCAGGCCATACAAAGCCCGATCCTGTCCAGTGCATGGGTGTCCGTCAGGAGCTGCAGATGTGATTTCGCTGTGTCCAGCCACCCTCCATGCGCCCAGGAAACGAAGTACTCCAGGGTCTTCCCGGAACCTCGCATTTCCTGCAGCATTTTTGATGCTGCTGCTGACTCGGGCTCCAGAACAGCAGCGATGATTCTGCTCTCGCTTTTGATGCAGTCGTCGTTCATGTACTTGGTCATGGCATGCAAGGAGTTTACAGCCCGACTCCGAAGCTGCTCCAACTTCTCCTTTGCTTGCCGCTTGGCCTTGCTTCGACTGAGGCCCTCCTCGGCCTCCTTGTCGACTGTACCATCGGGACACCACAGCTGATCGGCGAATTGTACCCAACCCTGCACCATGCAAGTCGCAGTCATGACGAAGGCTTGGCTGGACCAATGTGAGTCGATGGGACGATGAGCAGTGGCGATGCTGTTGAACTTAGTGGTGGCTGCAACCGGCCCTTTGCTTGTCAAGAATTCTTGGCTTCGCAGCGTCTTCAAGAAGTGGTCGCGGCCCGTCTGGCTGTCCTCTAGCAAGAAACCACGATCCTTGAGTATGTCCGGCCAGAACTTGAGTAGAAGCGGGTCGTTCCGGGGCATGTCTCTCAGCTGATGTGCTGTCTCTTGCAGCATGCGAAACCATCCTCCTTTCAGCCAGGGCCCGTACTTAATGTTGTACAGGGACAAGTTCATGCAGACTCGTCGCAACAAGCCTGCATCAGCCATGGATAGGAGGACATCGTTCTGTCGTCGATGCATTGGGTCATAGATGTGCAGAAGACCGAGGCCCTTCTTATGCTTCAAAAAATTGCACCCTGTGATTTGGAGAGCTTCCTGATCTGTAGTCACCACCAAGAGCTTGAAGGTTGGGCCTCTGGGAACTTCAGCGGCCTTGTCATCGTAGGGTTCCCCGACGAATTCCTGAAGGTTGCGGCCACTCAGTCTCAAGGCATTCTGGACACACTGCAGCCATAACCTGGTCGGCAGTCTGTCCTGGGTTCGCGTCTTCTGTTTCAGCCGCAGTCTTCGGGTCTCTTGGTCCTCGTCCTCTCTGGCCTTCACGAACTCCGTGGCCTTGGCTGTCCACAAGGCCGCCTTGTTCTTGAAGAGGTTCTCGTTCAGCTTCAGCTGCCGTTCCACCTGGGCTGAAACCCATGCTGATGATGAAAAAACACTGCTTGGACTAGCCCTGGAAAAGACCGGAAAACGGAGGCGCGGTCCCAGAGTATGTCGGTCGGTTTTGGGGGCCCCTGGAGCCTTAAAACCGCAAAAAAACGCGCGAAAACGCGCCAAAAAACGGAAAATTTTCGACGTGAAAATTTCCGAAAACGGAGGCGCGGTCCCAGAGTAGGTCCCTTCTACTGTAGTCTTCAGGGGGGTCCGGTCCCGGGCCGAGGCGCGGTCCCAGAGTATGTCGGTCCGGGTCCAAACTGGACGGTTTTCGCAAAAAAAAAACCCAACAAATCTCCAAAACGGAGGCGCGGTCCCAGAGTATGTCGGCCGGTTTTTGGGGGCCTCTGGGGCCTAAAAATTCCGGAAACGGAGGCGCGGTCCCAGAGTATGTCGGGAGGTTTTGGGGGCCCCTGGGCCTAAAAACAGGCAATGGCCCAGTTGCTTGAGGTGGGCACAGATACGCTTGCTCTTTGCTGGGCTCCCACAGGAAGACATTCAGGATGTGATCGGAACCCACACTGACGGCATCAGCTGTGAGCCCCAGAACAGGAGCTTCTTTCACGAGCTGCTTCCCGGCTTTCATGTAGTTGTACCGGTCCTGCAGCAGGTACTGCTCAGGCCGTGCATGACGACGTGATCTCTGCCCCTCGACAAAGATTTCTTGCCCGGCTGCGGCAGAAGCAACACCTGACACGTTGCAGTTCCCGGTCGTTGAAATCAGAGCCTGCCTGAAGCCGAAGGAGACCTTTCGATAGCCCCTGGCTGACCTGTCACAGGGATGTTACACCTATTCCACTAGAGCTTCAGAAACTGCAACGAAGCCCACCTCAGCTGGCTGAGCTGCTCCACTTTTGTGCAGGTCCAAGTTTTCGTCCGCAGACTGCCCTCGATCATGTTTGTGACGCACACAAAGATGAAACTCTGCAATGCTGTGAAAGCCTGTCGTCGCTCAGGTGAAGAGCCATTGTAGCTGTCGGCTTTTCGAAGCAGCATCAGCAGCTCAACCAATTCCATCTCGGCACGGTCACTGCCAAAAAACCTCTGGGCACACTTACAGCTCCTTGCCAAGGCCTTCACGTCCACGAGAACCTCTCCCTCCACTTTCCGAAACTGGAAAACAAACTCGTGGCCATCCTTTTCAGCACTGCCTTTTTGTTGCCAGCTGAGCTCACAAAAAACGACAAACAAACCCTTCAGCATGGCACGGGCCCGACTCCGCATGTCGGGATCAGACAGCACCCAGCTGCTGTTGGCTCGGGGCCCTCTTGTGCACCATTCCAGCAAAAGCACCATCATCGCGAAAGGGCTGCAGAACCAGTCCTGCTGCTCAAGCTCACGTGTCTCCTCGCCCAAGCTGGTTTGGCTATCCTGAGCTTGGCTATCCTGAGCTTGGCTATCCTGGGCCTGGCTATCCGACTCTCCCTGCTTCTGTGAAAGTTCTTTGAATTTCTGGCTCCAGCTGGACTCCACGATGTCCTCCTGGGCTGCTGCTTTGGCATCAATCCCCTCTTCTGGGACTAGTGGGCTGTAGTACTTGGCCAAGAGGTTTCGCCACGCTTTGGCACTAAACCCAATGAAATTTCTTCTGGCAGCACCTCCCAAACAGTCCACACACCAGCGAAGCAAGAAGGACACCGAGGATTGACACAACCCTCGGGGTTTGTGCCACACGTACACTTCCATGTCCCACTTGGAGTTGTGACCAGGCAGATCAACTGACAAGGCCACTGTGTCTTTGGCCTGCTCCAGGTCTTCCAAGTGCATTGTGATGCTCCCATGCTTGGTCACGATGTTCATCCTCTCTCCCTCTCGCTGAAGATGCATGTCAAAAACATGCATGAGAGGCCTCTCTATGACTTCAGGTTCCTCCCCATCATCAACAGACACTCGCAGAGTAGCATCTGCTTCTAAAAGGTCTTGGAAACCATCAATCAACAGATACTCGCCGGTGCTTTTGTTCTGAAGCATGGCCTTCCTTCCAGACCTCAAGAGACGACAGACTTCGGTCTCCCCTCCAAAACCAATGAAAGTGACATCGCTGTCCATGGGCCCCAAGCGCCGAAGTCGCTTCGTTGCCGGTGGGGTTGTCAAAAGGTCCTTCTCCTTGGACTCGGCTGTCTTGTCTTCGGGCTCGCTGTTCTTCACTTTGTCCGCTTCCGGCAAGTCCATGTTGCCACTCTTCTCGACTGTTGCCGAAGCTGCAGCCATGTTCTGAAACAAGCTCTTGAAGCTACACTCTTTGCAAAATGAGGGGAACCAAAAAGCTGAAGCACACATACATGACAGGCTCCAGCTGCACAAAACAAACTCAAAAGAACCGAGTCGGGGGCCCGATAACCTGGGGCCCTTTATCCAGGTCCCCAGGCACCCTCCCTCAGTCCCCTCAGTCCCCACGACACTCAATCTAACATTGACTTCAGTACAATGCCTCACCGACATTGAAGCTCAGCACGATGCCTCAATGTTTTTTTTGTCGCTGCTGACTGGGCCTTCGCAGTGTCTATGCCAAAACGAGCAGCTTTGCAATTCTTGCATGGCATTGGCTCTTAATTATGGGAATCCCTCTTTTGGTTTAGGGTTTTGGGTCTAGGGTCTCGGGTTTATGGTTTGGGGTTTAGGGCTTATCGAGGTTGATCTTATGCTTACACTGAGCATGCATGGCATTTGAAGCTTCCTGATGAAAAAAGTTCTGGCTTCTAGCTTCAGGGTTCACGATTTCGGGTTTAAGATTTGGGCATAAGTTCAGCTTCAGCCTCACGGATTCCGTCCAGTGCTTGACAGGTGAAACTGGTCAAACTCATACATCTTCTTCGCCCTCAGACGACGACCGTTCCCGTTGGTGCCTCCCCACTTCGTTCTCCAAATCGTCGTTGTGCACACCAGGGGGCACAGCATCGGCTTCTGCATCAGCATGTGCCTCGGCACCAGGGCGAGCACTGATAGCCTCCGCAGCAGGAGGAGGCTCTTCGGCAGGGGCCCACGACGAAGTACTCGTCATCTCGGCAGCAGGAGGAGGGATCTCGCCAGGAGGAGGGCCCGTCTCATTGTTACTGTTCTCGGCAGCAGGGGGGGGGTCCGTCGCATTGTTTTCTTGTGGTGGCACTGCCAATGGAGCCGGGGCCGATGGGGCCGGGAAGGGGCTTGCCGATCCGGTGCTTCCACCTGAAGGGGTCCAAAGAACTTTTGTGAGAAACAACTTAGCTTGTGGTTCAGGGTTGTTGGCTCAATACTTTATACTTACTTACGTATTTACTTCTGCCAGAAAGCTCAATGCACCTCGCCTTCCTGGAAATTGCCACGTCTTTCCAGGGGCAGCTGATAGGCCGTCGCTCGTCCAGGTCCAAGCTGGCCACGCACCAAGACATACATCGGCAACAGCGAAGCTCCATGTTGGCCGATGGCCTGCTGCCATTCTTGCGACACTGCCTGCCGGCAGATCGGGCAGCACACGGCATTGCGGGAGCTGGCATTGACAGCCACCAACCTTTGAAGACACCGCTGGTGAAAGGGCCCATGGCCGCATTCAAGGACCAGGCCATTCAATAAGGTGATCACCCTGCTCCCCACTTTCGCCTGCCATTGTGAACCAAGGCAGACCGTGCAGCTTGGGACCGGGACGTCCAGCTGCTGCCCCGCAGACGAGTTGGACACCGTCACTACCTGGAGATTTGCAAACTCGTGAGACATGAAATATTGCATAGCTTCATTGCACTCTCCAATACTTGGGGACCTCTGCAACATTCTTTGCCACTCTAGGACATCTTCCAATGTTGCTACTTCTTGAAATGGATGAAACAAGTTGGCTATGGCTACCTGCCACCTGGAGGCTGGGCAGTCGGCCGCCGCTGCCTTTGCAGGCACTGGCATCAACTTCGGCGAAGCCTTTGGCGGTGCCTTAACTGGCACTGGCTGCTTCGGCACAGCTGGTGCCACAGCTGCCTTCGGCTCCACAGGCACTACAGCTGCTGCCACAGCTGCCTTCGGCTCCACAGGCACTCCAGCTGGTGCCACAGCTGCCTTTGGCTCCACAGGCACTACTGGTGCCACAGCTGCCTTTGGCTCCACAGGCACTACTGGTGCCACAGCTGCCTTTGGCTCCACAGGCACCACAGGAGCAGTTGCCTCATCCGGCACCACAGGAGCAGTCGCCTCATCCGGCAGCGGCGGGGGGTGGCATGGGAGCAGCCTGCTGCGACCAGGAGTCCCAGGAACCACGGTTGCTGCTGCTGCCTTGGCCTTTGCCGCCCCCTCGACGACGGGACGACGAGCCCCAGCTGGATCCTCCGCTTTGGCCCCAAGAACTTTGGCCCCAGGAGCCTTGGCTATTGCCCCTGCCGCTGCCTTGCCCGCCCCCCCAGGATGACGCGCCCCAGCTGGATCCTTGGCCTTGGCCCCAAGAACTTTGGCCCCAGAACCTTGGCCTCGGCCACTGCCTTGCCAGCTGCTGCTTGCTCCGCCAGAGTGGCTTGCAGAACCATCGGCCTGATTCCACTGCCATCGCTTGTACTTCCTCCTTTCGTTTGCAGCCTGGTCTGCAAACGAAGAAGAACTCGACGAGCTGCTGCTGGACGAGCTGCTGCTGGATGGGGCAGCTTCGGCTTGGGCCCTGTTACTTCTCTCGGCCCTCTTCAACTTCTTCTTCAGCTTGGCCACCTTCTTCTTTGCTTTCTTCTCTTTTCTTCGCCGCTCATGGTTTGCTTTGCGACGGGCTTTCTTCTCAGCTCCGGAGCGCTTGGCCATGTTTGCCAGGACCACAAGCAACTAAAGGCACCAAACTCCTACAAAAGTTTGATCCGGCCTGCGCGGAACATGCACCAACTGCAAGAAGCAAAACAGGCTGTGCAACTGAGGCTGTGCAACTGCTTGGAGTTTCTTGTCGCAGAGACACACACACACACGACACATGCTCGCATCAGTCAAGCCCGACAAAATCGCAGAGCCGCTCCCCACTGCAAGTTGGACCTTTGTTCAGGTCCCCCGGGAGCCCTTTACTCAGGTCCCCCGGGTGGCGAGTTCTCATGAAAAAAATCTGGTAACCTACCACATGACTCGGAAAGATCTGCAAATATCCCCCGGTCAATTTTCGCTCGGAAGATCAATTTCAATGCCAGAACTGACTGACTAACTACACCCTCCTCAGGAGGCGAGCATCGTCCACTTCAAGATACCAAGAAACCGTGCAAATTGCACAGTAATGGTTCTCGTGGCTAATGTCTAGTCTCACACATTGGCCACTGTGCTCGGGGCACTTGCATCGATCACGAACCACAGTG